CTTAAATGTAATGGGTGAATTCAATTTTAATTCTTACAGCTCTTTTATACATTTAATTCTCCTTTATTAAAGACTTTAAACTAGTGTTATAGTCTTGTTTGGGTGGTAGGATATAAATCTGTTTTTAATTCATTGTATGTATCCACTCTTATAATACCATGTACAAAATGACAGGTAAACATTTGTTGAATAGGCAGATCTTTTCAAATTGAAGTTATAGGGAAGATACAAGAAAAAAACTTAAATTCCATCTTTATTTCTCCTTTTCTATTAATCATTATTCAAATATTTACTGAGGGCATAAGAGTATTGACCATTCCCTCTTACTATTTCCCTAATACTTCACTTTATAGACTAGAGTCACAAGTGTTTAAGCTATAATGGTTTACTACAGAGAAGTGAAATATTCTTTCCAATTGAAATGGCTTTTTTGAGGGTGAAGTGTCTTCTTGCTTTTGTCAATAGCTTTGACAGTTGATTTCTGTGTATATTGATTTTATGGCTCAGGACTGGTGTGCATAAGAGTCTTGTTTGCTAATCTATGGTTATTCTGTTTTAATTATCTTGAAATTATTTTCCTTAGGAACACTCTAAAAAGGGAACTCTCTGCTATTCCTTTGTACCTGCAATGTCTATTCTCCACCTAGCTACCTACGAGCTAGAAACACTGAACATATATGTGTGTGTGTGTGTGTGTGTGTATGTGTGTGTGTGTGTATATGTATATATATAGTATTGTAGAAGAAAAGGCAATTGAGAATGCCACTGCTCGTTCCAAATTTAGATGCTCTTAGAATAAGTAGACTCCAGACTGTCAGAGATAAAACTATATTTTGTACAAATTGATAAAAGAGAAGTCGACTAGGTTTTCTTATACTCTTCCTGACACATTTCAAAACATGGGGTAACTAATTTTTAACTACTTAAGAAGTTTGACCTATTTACTAAATGAAGGGTATTTTTAATCTCAAGCTCTGTGCTAGAGATCTGGTATCCGTGAGGGCAGAAGAAGAATGGAGTTGTTACTATTAAAATTGGATCTTTTTTGTCCTGCACACCCTTTTGAGAATCTAGTGAAAGCAATAAACTTTCTTAGAAAAATGCACATGAGCACAAACACATACATTTTTATATAGAATTTTAGATTTCTGGTCTTCTTGAAACTTTACCATAAACCTAAACTCTCCTGTAGGTTCTCTGAACTCCAGACTAAGAACTCCTGCCTTAAATAAAAGCATTGCTAAAAGTTATGGGTGCTCTAAGATCCCATAACATAATACTTAGATATCTAATGTATCCAACAAAGGAGAAACTTTTACTTAGAGATCTAAAATTTAACCTTTTAGCCTCTAGGCTCCTTACATATTTTCCTCTTTTCTCACTGGCCGTTCATAGCATACTCTG